ACCAGCTTTCAGCCCGGGGAGGCCAGTCATCTTTCATGGACTCCATCTGTGCAGCCTGACCTTCTCTGAGAAATGGGGGGTTGGACAGGCTCGCCACAGAGTCCCACCTGACTCCACTTCCCACCCAACCTGGGCTCCCAATAATTAGCCCCGGTTTTCTTTGCAGAGACTAATGGTCATTTGTGCCCCTCTGAACTTCCTGCTCGCAAACTGAGCCAACAGAGATGTGTTTCTTAGGAGGATGCTGGGGTGATAGGGAGTGTGGGTAGGTGCCTGCTTTGGCCACAGCCGCAAAGCCAGGTTTCCCTGGGGCTGGGGCAGGGGACATGGGGTGACAGATTTTGGGTCTTCTTGCTGGGGAAAGAGCTCAGACAAGTGTGGAAAGTCACCCAGCCACACACTTTTCTCTATAGATCTAGAAGGCATTCCCAGGCTCTGTTGCCATTTTTATTTGAGATTCTAGGTAGGACTTGGGGCTTCTTCAGAGAAGACTCTGGGAGGGCCCTAGGATCCAGCTACTGGGATGGGGCTCCCTGCTTCACCCTTACTTTCTCTCTGGGATGCGCCGTGGCCCCATTGTATTAGGCTTCTCCAGAGAAAAACAACCCATAGGAGATTTATATATGTCAGAGAGACAGATTTATTAGAAGGAATTGGCTTATGGGACGATGGAGGCTGAGAAGCCCCAAGATCTGCAGGCAGCAAGCTGGAGACCCAGGAGAGCTGACGGTATAGCTGCTGTTGGAGACTGAAGGGCTGAGGACCAGGAGGGACGATGCTGTAAGTTCTCATCTGAAAGTTAGCAGGCTCAAGACCCAAGAACAGCAAGTATTTCAGCTTGAGTCCAAAGACCAGAAAAGATCAATGTCGGCTGGGCATGGTGGCTCCCAACTGTAATCCCAGCGCTTTGGGAGGCCAAGGTGGGTGGTTCATGAGGTCAGCAGTTCGACACCAGCCTGGCCAATATGGTGAAATCCCGTCTCTACTAAAAATACAAAAAATTAGCTGAGTGTGGTGGCGTGAGCCTGTAGTTCCAGCTGCTCGAGAGGCTGAGGCAGGAGAATTGCTTGGACCTGGGAGGTGGAGTTGCAGTGTGCCAAGATGACACCACTGCACTCCAGCCTGGGCAACAGAGCAAGACTCCATCTCAAAAAAGAGAGAGAGAGAGCACACGCGCACGCAGGAGAGAGAGAAAAGAAAAGACCAACATTCAAGCTCTAGCAGTTAGCAAAAAGAATTCCCTCTTACTCAGCCTTTTTGTTCTATTTAGATCTTCAACTGTTGGTTGAGGCCCACCCTCATTAGTGAGCACCATCTGCTTTACTCTGTGTACTGACGCAAATCTTATCCAGAGGCTGGGCTTGGCGGCTCACTCCTGTAATCCCAGCACATTGGGAGGCTGAGGAGGGCAGATCGCTTGAGGTAGCAGTTCAAGACCAGCGTGGCTGACATGGTGAAACCCTGTCTCTACTAAAAATACAAACATTAGCCAGGCATGGTGGTATGCACCTGTAATCCCAGCTACTCAGGAGGCTGAGACGGGAGAATCACTTGAACCTGGGAGGCAGAGGTTGCAGTGAGCCAAGACTGTGGCACCGCACTCCAGCCTCGGCAACAGAGCAAGACTCTAACTCAAAAAAACCCCAAACTTATCTGGAGACTCTCTCTGTCTTTCTAGTAAATCGCTATTCTGAGAAAAAAAAAAAAAGTCACAAAAACAACTGGTCCTATCATACCTTTCCTCTGCCTTCATTTTCCAGGTACACAGAAAACATTTTTAAAGCCCAACAATAAATCAGAAAAAAACTAAATAGTAAAAAACAAAAAGTGAAAGAGAGTAAAAGGTGCTAATAGAGAAGGCAAAATGATGAAAAAAAGAGGATATAAAATGACCCAGAGAGGTATCATATTTATGACCAAAAATCAAGAGGTAGAAGAAAATATATTCGTCATGATGGCTATCAGTGGTCTCGGGGTGATATTAGCCATCCCAATTAATATATTTTCTTCAATGACATCAAATAAATATCAGTGCCCTTTACAGCTTGACTTTTTCCCTGTCACCAGGCTGGAGCACAGTGGTGTGATCTTGTCTCACTTCAACATCCGCCTCCTGGGTTTAAGTGATTATCCTGCCTCAGCCTTCCAAGTAGCTGGGACCACAGGCACACACTACCATTCCCTGAGAATTTTTATATTTTCAGTAGAGGCAAGGTGTAGCCTTACTTTTATAATAGAACAGCCTTTAACAGGACATGGATCACAAAAGGAAGGGAACATATACTGAGTGCTGACTATATGTAAGGCATTGTTTTAGACACCAAAGCTGTCTTCTCATTTGATCTCTGCAATTGCTGTGTGAAATAGGCACTATTCCTGACTTAAGATTTTGACACCAAGGCTCAGAGCAATCCATAAAACAAATGACAACGTGGGTAGCCCCAGTCATTGTCCCTGTTTTTATCCCCTGTTCAGTATCATAAGCATCTGCACTTAATGAAAAAGAAAAGGCATAAAAAGAATAGTAAAAGAAATAAAAATTCTAACAAAGAATAAAAGGAAAAATAGCCATTCTCTTACCTCTCTGGATGGACATGGAGCTTCACAAGACTGCTAGAGAGCTGTCTCTTTGCTTGTAAGTCCTCACTGAGCCAACTCTGTTCATCTGCTAGTCCTTCTAGCATCCGCAGCAACTGAGAAAACAAGAGAGAAGAGGCAATACACAATGGCGCAGTGAGACATGAAGCCACAGTTAACCCTGAGAAACAAAAAAATGCATTAGCACGTACTATGACTTAAAAAGCCCGCTATGTTAGTACTTAAACTTTTGATAGTACTGTATAGTTTTCAAATCAATGTCATATTATTTTTTTAATCTTTAAAACCCTGTAAGGTGGAATTCAAACATGGGAGCAAAAAGAATAAAAAGGAGAGAGAAGCTAGAAGCACAGGAAAGCAGCTAAGAGAAAGGAGTAAGAGGGAAGTGGGACAGGCAAGAGGGAAACATATGAGTTACCAGTATTCTTCATTCATTCAATACATATTTATTGAGCACCCTCCATGGGAAAGACTCCATTCCAGGTTCTAAGTGAAAGCCTACTATATAGGGGAGGAAAAAGATGTTCATTAATCACAGACATTTGTCATTATGAGTGTAACAGTACTATAAAGATAATGAGCTATGATCATGTATAACCAACAGAGAGTTGTTGAAGGTAGAGTTGAAAGCCAGAATGGAGTGGGGTGAGTAGTTAGTAAGACAGATGCTAATGGAGACAGAGTACAGGCAAGTGAGTCTTTTGGAAAAGAAAGGTTAAATGGGCTGTAGCTACAAAGAAAGTTGGGGCAAAAGCAGGGGTTTCTTTCTCTTTTTTTTCAACTGGGAGAAATCTAAACATGGTTAAATGCAGACAGAGGGAAAAAGGTTGAGAGAGAGATGACTTACGTAAGAGTGTGAGGGATAACTATTGGTATGTGTCCAAAAGAACTGCTGCTCTTTACAGAACCACACATGTCAGAAAGAGGCATCTATACCTGCTAACGACCAAAGTAGGAAACTTCAGAGCAGTTTCCCGATGAAATAACATTTATGAAAAACCAATACCACGGTTTATTTCACAGTAGAAAAACAAGTTTGTCTCGGGTGTAGTGGTATGCACCTGCAGCTTCAGCTACTCAGGAGGCTGAGGCAGGAAGATTCCTTGAGCCCCAAGAGTTTGAGGCTGCAGTGAGCCATGACTGTACCAGTGCACTCCAGCTTGGGTGACACAGTGAGAGTCCATATATATATATACATATATATATATGGAGGAGGGGGGGGGAGAGAGAGAGAGAGAGAGAGAGAGAGAGAGTGTGTGTGAGTGTGTGTGTGTGTGTGTGTGTGTGTGTGTCTGTCTGTAAGTGAGTCTATATGCCAATAACTTACCTGTTGTCTTTGGTTTCCTGGTATTTCTTGATCCTGGGATTCTACTGAAGCAACTTTTTCCCAAAGAAGTAATCCTTCCTGGGTCAGGCGTTCCACAGCTGGTATGTCTTCAGGAAAATCAGTTGTATTTGCAGGTCCTAGAAGTCAAAAAGTAAGCGTAAACATGAAAATAGTAATCAAAGTATTATGCAGTTGACAAGCACAGACAAATGTTCTTGAAACAGTCTGCCTATACTTTCAAGTGAGATATTCATAAACACCGGGCAAGGGATTCAATGTGTGCAAATACTATCTGAAGATGCCCTACAGGTAATCTGAGATGTGAACACTTCCAATGGTCTGTAAAAACTTTGGAAGGACCTTTATGAGGTCTTCTTTACTCTGTGTTTTCCTGGTCAGAGGCTCCATATCAGCAGCCTGCACCTGCGGCCCTTCCTCCCCCACCCGAGGCTCTTCCTCCCCGACCCGCGGCTCTTCCTCCCGCGCCCGAGGCTCTTCTTCCCCGCACCTGCGGCTCTTCTTGCACCTGCAGGTTGTCTCGTACCTGAAGGTCTTCTTCCTGCACCTGCAGCTCTTCCTCTTGCGCCTGCAGCTCTTCTTCTTGCACAGCCATCATGGACTGTAGGGCAGAACTTTCCAGCTGTAAATAGAGGAAACAATAGCTGCCATGTTTACATTTTAACACAGAGACA